TAACCCACAGGCTTCTCTCATCTTTGCAAGTCCAAAAGACTAAGATGCATTTCACTTAAGCTGCCCAGAAGGTTCACATTTATGTGGAGCTAGTGATCTAATCCCTGTCCAGAGGGAGTGCAGAGAGGCAGATGCCTCCAAAGAGCAGTTCTTAGCTACCTTGGGCTCACCTACTTTCATCTATCTCAGGCTGCTTCATTGTAGTTTTTTGTTAGCTGTATTTTTCCGTAGATCCATGGATGATTGATCGATCGTAAGTGAATAGTTGTGATTGAGCCTGCCTGCCATAGTCTGTAATGTTAGGCAGGATTCCTCCCAATATCAACAACTCTAGACAGTAGAGATAACACTGAATTTAGGAGGGTGGAAAGGTAATAAAGGATATGGTGTTTTCAAGTATAATAGCAAAGGGCGAGGATTTAGTTGACTTGCGTACCTGCCCCAGTAAATCAGTGCATCAGAGGCAGCCCAGCATCCGGAGTGCAGTGTTTGGGAGGGCCAGGAGGAAGGGTACCCGGAAGCGTTTGATGTGCTGGGGAGTTTGCAAGCGAGCTGCCGCGGCATCCCCACGTGTCAGCGTGTGTTGGAGGAAGCAGAGCCCTGGAGGCGGTGTCGGGAGAAGGCAGAGCGATTGGGTCAAGGTTTAACTTGGAGGTAATGACCCTCTGCGTGTGACCAGATTGACAGAATTATATGTGAGGAACAGATAAAACAGCTCTGCGTAAAAAGCACGCTTCCGTGGCAGCCACAATCCCTTTTTATACGTCTCTTGCAAGTTAATGGTCCTTCACAGGCTCTATGGGGGCAATAAAATCAGGACATATTATTCTAATGGGCAGAGACTGTAACAGGAATGGGAGACGACAGGAATGCAACGCTTGTTTTTTCCCCTCTTGACAGCAATACTTTTTTTCCCTCTTTAACAGGACTAAAATCTAATCCTTATTTTTCCAAAGGCTGGGTCATTTCCTAAAAAATAGGCCAAGTAATTTGGGGTCTAAAAATGTTTGCTTGTTTGTTTCTAAAAGAATCTGTCATAGAAGAATTCCCGTTCCTGGGCAGTTGCTGATGACATAATCCTAATCTCTTGATCTATAAATGTTATAGAAATTATTTCCTTTCGGAATCTTGTGCACTTCTGCCTGATCTCCTATTGCCCTACTAGCTGGGAGCCTTTGTTTGCTGTTGCACTGTTTCACTGTGCCATTCTAGGTGAACAAAACTGATCATAGTTTGCCACAGGTTGCTCTCGGGTATTTTCTGCTGACTGAATTCCAAATTAGGCTTAGATATTATTGTTGGTCCCCACTGTGTGTGGCATACACCGTTTACTAGCCCAGGAATATCTTAGTTGAGGTGTGAATTAACACAAGGGCTCATTTGCTGTTGTGTGCAGGCCAGCCTGCATGTTAACTTTGAATAATTAGGTGACATTTTCTGCAGTGAAAAAAAGAACAGCTTTCTCTTATTTTGCCTGTGAATACTGAGCATTCCTGGTGACCAGGAAGCACTTTTGGAGTGTTCCTTTCCAGATGCTGTATGTAACCTCTGGGGTGAGCTGCCATAGGTGCTTTTAACGATCTCTTACAGGATTTTAATGTCACTTTATTTTTGCTCTATGTCATTAATGCACATCTGTTATCCCTCAGAAGAAGTTTTCAGCTCTGCTTTGTACGTGGTACACAGATATTTTGTGTAGCCAGCTCCATCTACCCCGTTATAGCTGACTAATTAAGGAAGCTGAACACAGCTTCTGCAGCAGCCTTTAGAAAGGGCAGCGAGAAGCGGTCGTTACAGGAGCAAAAGGCATTTGCTGGCTTTTCTCTTCCCTTTCCAGCCAAACTACAGCTTTCTCCAGCTTGTCGTTACCCACGTGTGCAAGCTGTTCAGGGGCTGCGTGACGCCGAACAATGTGCACTCCTGCTGCACAGTCTCACTGCAGGCAGGGCACTCGGAAACAGCTCAGAGCTCAAAGGAACCGCAGTTCCGTTGGTGGAAGCTCTGGGCAAAATTTTCCCAAAGGATTCAAGGACAGAACTAGCCAAAAGCTTTACTTGCATGGATGTTAGAAAGATAAGATAGGAATCCAGTTATCTGCATCTGTGTTAGTTTGTCTGCTTACATGAAGAGCACTACCTTTCTTTTCCTCCTTTCTTTAAGGAAAGGTTGTGAAATTATCTGATGTCTTTATTTTGTGGGGTTTTTTTTTCTTGAATGATTTTTATTATGATTGGTGGGTAGTAAGTATTAAGAATCCATTTGCAAATTGTAAAAAAGAACCATTGAAAAGGCAGTGATTTTCATATAGACAAAAAATATAATTCCTTCCTTTTCTTCCACATCCCAAAATAGCTTCTGTTCTCTGTTATTTTTGCCAATCCAGTGCTTACAAGTGCATGTGATTTAGGGAGAAAATGGCTACCTTAAAATGCAGCTAGATGCTGCCACCCATAGGATTGATCCAGGCTCTGCACTTTTTTTTTCTGAATCATGTGTAAAATAATCATCTAAGTTGGATTTGTAATAATTTCTAAAACATAGCCACTGTGTCCTGTGATAGTTAAATGAAGAATGATGAGGTCAGTCATTTTCTAAACCATTTCAGTTCGATGGGTAGCAAAAATAATTCCTAGGACGACGAGGACAACAATTCCTAGCAAGTGAAGCAAAGACTAAAATCAAGTGTCCGTTTCTCAAGCAGAGGCCGGGTACAGCAGCTGCTCAGTTTGTGCCATTGCAGTGGCAAGGCTTGTGATCCAAACCTCTCCTCTTCCCCCTAGAAGCTGGTTTTAAAAAAAAAGTTAATAAAAGGGGGTAAGTGGCCTGTGTGGGTGTCATCAGGTTGATAATCATATACTAAGGTCTGTCGTTCCCATTAGCGAGTATCACAGGAAAATGACCTCACTGCTGAAACTCTTGTGGTGGTCTCAGCTTTATACCGTGGAATCACTGAAATGCTGAAGACTTCTTTCCCTCCGTCGGGGAATTTAGAGGGGAAAGATTCACAGCCACATGGAGGGCCTGGGTGCCTGGTGCGGCTGTTGATGGAGCTCCAGCCACTTCTATTCTGCCAGGGCCTCAGAGGTTGCCTAGCCTGCCGGGAGAAGGAGCGATTCCTTCCCGTGCTGCTCACCCTGGATATTGGGTCCCCTTCACGCTCCTGCTGCCAGGAGCCCTTTTGCAGCTCTGGCTTTGGCAGCTCGCAGGGACGGCCCCACAGCGCGAGCACCCGTGCAGCGTTAGGGCCACGTGAGCAGCCGCAGTCCCTGGCGTCCTGTGGCGAGCGACATCCAGCATTGACGTCCCCCGAGGCCGCCCTTGTTGCGGACAGGGAGGTTGGGAACAAGGGAGCTGAAGGTGGGCTTTCCCTACAGAAAGATGCCTGCTGAGCATGGGCTCATCCAGGACATGATGCCTGCTGCCTTTCTTGACCCTTTTGTGAGCAGTTGTGCCTGCTTCAGGCATGGGCTGAAGTAATTGAGAAGAGATTTAAGATGAAGGTTTTCTCATTTTCGAGGAATGGGGCCAGGAATGCGCGTTTGCTCACGTGGTCCTTTTGGTTCTCTGCTTGGTGCATTTGGGGGTGGAAGCACAGCAGGGATGTATCCCTGCCGTTCTGGCTCACAGAGAAATGCAGCTGCTCATAGAGTCCTGAGAGCAAGTTCTCAGCTTTTTCCTGACTCAGAAAACATCTTGGGCTGCAGAGACACTTGGCCCAAGGTGAAAGTCACTGGAATTACTGATGGGCAAGTAAGACCTTGTAGATGGTGTTTCCTTCTTCTGTAGATATTAATATCTCAGATGTGGGGAGATCTCAGTAGGATGAAGGAGGAGCTCCAAGGAGGAGACTTCTTGGTGGTTTGACTGGTGAATTTGGTGGCAAACATGAGGAGAGAAAATGTATGCACCAAGCTGTTGTGCACTTAAAGCAGATGTTGAGGGTCAGAGTGTGCTGTTCCTTCCACATATCTCCATGCATTTCAGGATTTGCAATTTGGGTGACATTGTCAGCAGCTAAAAAATAACGATAAAACCTTTTGGCCAAAGTTGGGTTACTTTGGGTCCTATTTCAGTTGCAAGGACTAGGCTTGTTTAAAAATAGAACCAAGAGCAAGATTATGATTTCTTTTAGAGATGCAGCTTATCTCCAGAAGTTTTCATTCCCTAGATATTCACCTGCTTCATGTCTTTTTGTATGTACAGGATGAATAGCAAAGCAGAAGAGACCTCATTTTCACTCAAGTATTTGTAATTATTTATATCAAAAATAACCTGCTAGTTTTGTTTCTCTTCTGCAGCCTCCTCCTCAGATATATGATAAACAGCTGGATGAAAGGGAACATACAATCGAAGAATGGAAAGGTAAGCACAGCTTTGCATTGTGTGCAGCAGCATTTGTGTAGCATATAAACCACGTCCCTCTTCGAACTGCTGCTGTGTAAACCCGTAAGAATTTCTTTGACACTATATAGGCCTATAAGCTGGAACTTAGCAGCACATATGTAGGGAATATCCTGAGTTTCATCATTATCTCATTACACAGATGATCATAGGAAGTGCAGATTCTGGTACTTAAGGATGTCATCTGAGAATAGACCACTGTTGGGGAGCACAGTATGGCAGAGTGTTTTCAAAGTAATTAACACAGTGTTAATGTGCTGCTTGATTTCTAGGTAGTGTAATACTAAATGATTTCTCTGGTCTAGTTTTTTCCATTTGATTCAGTACAGCTCCGAAAAGGAGAGGAGAGATCTTAGAGACCTTAGGCGAGCAGAGCATTTAGACCCTTGGAACTAAGGTAGTGCTGACCAGGTGAGCCTGTGGGAGCGCTGTGCCAAAGGAGCGACAGCCGCAGTTCCTTTCCAGATGAAGAAAACGTGCACCAGAGCAGTATAAAAACGAATACAAAAAAAATCCAAGCCCAAAATGAATGCTTCTCAGAGTAGTACATGGCCAAAAGTTGCTTTACGGGTTGCATTCTGTCAACACGTAATGATCTAGAAAGGTTTTGCTGCAGTCTCTTTAGTCCATTTTAAAGAATGGGACATCTGGCCTGTTGGATTTTGTTACAATATGTTGCAGAGGTGGTCAGACCCTTCCTGGTGCGCTTGGGCCTTCATTTAGGAGTGAGGTGTAATGTGATTCATCCTGTGATGTGACTCATCCCTATTTATTTATTTATTTATTTTTAAATACCCCGAGCAGGCTAAGTACATTATAGTAATAGCTACGTAATGATGCCAGACTTGGAGTACAGGCTGTTACATAATTCTTAGAGGGAATGGCAATGGAAATAAGGATAGGTGAAAGAGGAGGAAGAGGAGTTAGTGAAGGAGAAGCCAGAACTCGTTTACAGTTAATCGCTTGTGTTGGGAAAGCACTTGTTGCATCCTGTGATTTTTTTTTTTCTTTTTTTCGCCTATCTGTAACTGTTCCAATTGTGCTTTGCAGAACTCATCTACAAAGAAGTTATGAATTCTGAAGAAAAGACTAAAAATGGCGTAGTAAAAGGACAGCCTTCTCCTTCAGGTACTCAGCCCCATTGAATCACTTCAGTGCGTTTTCCACAGTGGCCAAATGAGAGCAGAGATGGCTGGAACACCATGGGGTAACACCAGCAGATACCTATGCCAGGTTCAAAAGTCTTTAGGCAAAGTAGTGACCATAACGGGTTAAGCTGGAGTAGCTGAATACCAGTGTCACGTTACTGCTCGAAAAATTGGTCTACACACAAGGATGTTCAATGTGTTTGGGGTTAATAATATTTCTTGTTGCCAGTCTTCCTTTGTTAGAAAGTCCCTCCAGGTGTTTCCTTATTGGCTTTATGGAAGGCACTCGATGGACTCTCTGACTGTAAAATTAAGTCGTTAGGGCAACAGATTAACTGTGCTCCTCCAGGCTGTGGGGATCAGACACACAGCAGCTTGGATGTACCCCTGTAGAGCTACAGTCACATGGTTTGCTTCTCTTCATATTCCTCTTGTTCCCTACCAAGTCCCTCTGCCATCGTCATGCTTAGCAAATAAGTCTCTCTCTACCCGCTCCCACTCGGCCAAGTTTTATTCGCTTAATACAATTATTTGGTATCTGAGACTTGGTATCTGAAGGTTCACTTTAACTGACAGATGCGAAGCGCCCTGTTTTTGAACATATCATTCCTGTCATGCTTATGGATAGAACTTCCACAGAATCTTTCAGGAAAATATCATTGTTCATTCCAGTGTTTTCTGCGTAAGATAATTCAAGAGGCAGCATTAGGAGTGATGGGACAAGGGAAAGCATGATCAGAAAAGAAGTTAATGCAGTGTTGTCTGGTGATATTAGGGCTTTAGCACTACACCTGGGTTTTGACTTAGATAAAATAAGATATGAAAAGCAATTCATTGTGTTCTTGCTGAGCAGCAAAGCAAGCACAGAATATGCAAATTGAACTTACAGAAATACTGTGCCACCATTGAAAATAAATCTGCACATGACAGGTATCTAATAAATTCTCATTGTTTAATATCGCAGCCTATGGAATTGTGGGTGCAATCTGATTTATGAGGCAATAACATTGTAGTTGCTGGGTCCAGGAATTAATTTGTGGATACTGCACAGAGATTACCTTTATGTAGTTCACATTCTTTCCCATGTGGAAGACTTTATTATTTATTTACAAACATGCAATTTTCTAAGCGTTTTTTTGTTTTACTGGTCCTCTTTGATTTTAAATTGTAAAGCAAGTGTAGTAACTGTGTAAATGTTGTCCTGAGATAGGGTTGTAACGTGGCTCTGTAGCTTTCCCATTTTCAGTGACTCGGTGCACTTAAGTTTATTCCAAGTATTGAAAGAATGATGTAAAAGAAGTCAGCAGTTGTAGGCATCCTGTGTTCAGATTTGGTAGCAATTCTGCTTGTTCAAGTTGCTCTAAATATTACCCAAATTATGGCCTAAAAAGTTCCAGATGTTCAGCCTGGATTTGTTAGAATGTAAGAGATAAGAGGGCCAAAGAAAGCAAAGGATATAACACAGCAAGGCTTCCGAGGGCTCTTTACAGTTTCCAGTGCTGAGCAGACTTGACATGTGCTGTTGGCAAGTAGCAACTGAGCTATTAAACCTGCTGTAGAGCAGAAAAATTGATGAGCTTTCATCTGTAACAGCTGTGATGCTTTGGGCTGGTGAAATGCTGTGGTCACTGCTGGGAACTCGGTTATTTTTCTGTTGACAGCGAAGTAAACTGGGGGAATTGCTCTTTGAGTAGGAGGCCTGTGAAGCAAGAGCCAGATCTTGTCAAGTTCGAGGAGAAGGAAGGAAATAGTCTGAGCAGATACAATGAAGATGCACGCTTTCTTCTTCCCTTCTGAAGATAAATCTTTGGTAGATAGAATTACCAGACATAAAGTCTTAGTTGTCAAAGAAAGGCAGTAATGAACACAGTTATTCCACAGTCGGTCAATGTTTCTTTAGATATTTCTCTGTTACAGTAGGTGTAGTCCCAAGGTAAGGGGGCAAATAGAAGCAGGAGGAAGAGAGAGATGATCTACCCAGATGAGCTTGTTACTTGGGGAACTTTTTGGAGAAGGCTTCTGTCATGAAGCTCTCTGCCTCTGTTTAGGCTGCTTGCCCGTATGCAACACATTAGTTTGAATAAGGTGACAACTTCACTGGAGATTTGGCACATGTGGAAGTGGATCGCAAGCCACGCAGAACACTGATCCAGTGTGGTCATGTTCCTGATGAATAACAAACTTCCTGGTGGTCTTAGGAACTTTTCTCTGGTCTATTTAAGAGTAAATGACATAAAGCCTCAACACACACGTTGTGCTTGGTCAGTGTTCTTGGCAGGAATTTAGAAGGCTAAGGTTTGAGAGTCTCATCAATAAGTCAGGCAAGCAGGAGGAGACTTTCCATGATTGCTTGATAAGAGCTTTTGCAGGGAGAGCTGAAGTTGAGAGTACCAAGACTGGTATCCATTCATATTGCAAGCCCAGTAAGTGCCTGCATACTAGGATGTCAATCCCCTAGTGCCTCAAATGCGGCCCTTGGGGATCCTGAGGTGCCCCTCTAATCTGTGTTCATGCCCAAATTAAAAAATCGCTTTTGGGTAAAACTGTTGCCAGCAGTTATTTCTGCAGTCCAATCATCCAGAAACCTCTGCAGACTGTCTTGTTCATTCTCAGAAAGCTTTTTCTAAGGTCTTGCCTGAATCTAGTCCTGCAGCAGTTTAGCTCTGTGATTTCTTGTCTTGTCTCCTGAGGACAAGGGGAACAATTTCCTACGTTTTTCTTTCTGGCAGCTTTTAGCTTACTTGAAATCCATTACCACATTGCCTCATCAGTCATCTTTCCTTTAAAGTCAGCCTTCCTAGGTCATATTTATTAGACACTTGCTCATTCTTACTGCTTTTTTTGTTTACTTAGGTTTCCTTAGATCACGGTGCTCAAAACTACCTGCGTAAAGTCCTAGTAGCACAGGAGTGAGTGGAAGGAGTTGTTTGCAGGTGTATAGGTGTGTGTGACCAGCAAAAGCCTGTTTAAGGTTTCTAATGCTGTCCCAAAGTAACCTATGTCCTCACGTGTAAGCAAAACATTCTGTGCTTGCAATAACTAGTGAACAAGAGTTACGGGCAACTGTGAGCCCTCCGGATTATCCTGGTAAATATGTTAGTCCTTGGCTTTCTTCTCCTCTTTTATTCTGAGTTCTTTGATCACAGTCTGGTCGAAAAGATGGACGTGAACAAAATGAGAAGGAGGCAACGTCAGAGCAATATGGTGTTAATTGCCTTCCTAGGAATTTCTCTAATTCCGTTGACAAGGACACATATTTCAGGACACTGGTATGCATGTCATGAGGTGATTAATAGCTACCTCCCGCCCATCTAGTTCTAATAACATACCTCAATCTACGCTGTGGTGCAGCTGAGTTTTGAGCAAAGGACCAGATAAAGGCTGCTTCACTGCTCCTGGATTTTAAAAAAAGTGAATACAAGTATATCTATAGACAGTGTAAAACCTAAAATAAAAATGGTGGCACATGCATTTCTAACCTGCAAGGCAAACTGAATAGTGCACATCATTTTGTACTACTCAACAGCTTGGGATAGTGGCAAAATTCTTTAAATGCCTGTCGTGGGGAGCTGGCATTCTTTGGTATGCAACAGGGAGATGAGGAAATAAAAGGCCTGTGCAATATTTCGCAGCAAACTTGGTTCCAAGAAACACATTTCTAAAAGAAAAACGATAATTGTGAGAAAGGGATTCTGATCTGGAACTGTGAAAACTGCACAGAATGGTTTCTGTGCCGCAGATGCTCACCGCTGAATGTGGTCACACGTGTGTGTAGCAGATCCTGCACCTGATGATCTGCCAGGTTGTATTCCCCTTGACATATCCATTTGCACATTCAGACTCTTGAATGTTCAAGATATTTCTTTGACTAACATGCTCACACATATGAATACCAGACACAAGTTGGTAAGAAAAAAAGCTGTAGAAATGTTCTCAACTATCCAGGTTGCTTGTGAGCTCATGAAGGCCATGCACGTGCGCGCACTCGCTCTCTTTTTAATTTTTCTCTCCCTTTCAATACCTTTTGAGAGAAGGTAAGCAGAGAAGTGGCATGTCAGGACTTGGCTTTTTCTCGGACAGAGCTTCCACTGCTCTGCTGGAAGAAAACAGTTCCAGTTCCTTTCAGTAGTTTTTCCTCAAACAATATTTTGGCCTGTTCCTCGTATTTATCCTGATATTTCATGATTTCAAGAATTCATGATCCTTCCAGTTGTTGTCTTTGAGCGCTCACTTCAGGCTAAAGGGATGCCTTTCTCTTTATCGAAATATCTTTCCCTTGTTCTGCTATGTAGCTGTACTGGCTTCCTCTCACTCTTTATTACTAGGTGGTGGACACTTGTCCTCTGCTTCCCAGCGCTGTCTTACTGAGCCCGTGAGAGCTTGGCCACCACCCCAAGCTTTGTCATGTTTACCTAGCTCTCCTAAGATGAATTGGGTATAATAACTGTGGTGGGGGAAAGGTCAGCATTTTGTGCCCTGCTTATGGTCTTCAGGAGAGGAAAAGTTTCCAAACTCATTCTGTTTTAAAAGAAAAAAATTGAGCTAATGCCAAGATGTCCAAGTTGTATGAGGAGTTTACTTTTCGTTATAGGCGCGTTCTTGATGTGTTGGTGAGTTGCAAAGGGGAGGCTGGAGCACGGCTTGGAGTCGCACGGCAGGGCCGGGAGCAGCTCCCAGGAGCTGGATCTCACCTGCTCTGTGTCTTGCTCCTTGCCCAGCATCAGTGGCTGGCACAGAACCATGTTCCCTTCCTGCCCAGCAGCAGAGCCACCACCTGGGTGGGCTCCTCTGCATGCGGCGCTCTCAGTGCTGCGCTGTTTGGCCTGTCCTTAATGTTTTAATTGCAAATGGGAAAGTACCGGAAATCCTTTCCCTTCTTTCCGTATCACCATTTTGCTATATAGATTGCTAATGGGTTTTGTATTAAGAAATATTTAATAGTGCTGTATTTTTCTGTGGATTATATTGTGTGTTCTCTTGTTCTTAATTTCTCTTGTCTAATGTGAGGACGTGAAAATCTGTTTGGATCTTTTGTATAAGAAAAGCCAACACAGCTTTTTCTGTAGTGTAAGAATGAACCAGCGTGTTCCTGCAGAAGGCAGGCCTGTGTGTCCCAAGGAGTAGCTCCCGTTGGCAGCCCCACAGCACTGTGTACGGTGCTGTTTCTAGGATCGTGTTCCTGTTTTTCTCACACTGCACTGTTTGATGCTGCCACTTCTCCTGAAGTATCTGCAAGAAAACTGGGACTTTGAGAAAGTGTGGAGGAGGGTTGGTTGTATTTTTTTTTTCTTTATTTGAATGGTCTCATGGGTATCTGTGTGCCCAGCAGACTTCTAATTTGTAACTTGAAGAAATCTAGATATAAAAGGCAGTAGTAAGTGTACCAAAAGCTACCTCTTCAAAACAAGCTGGTCACAAGAAAGAATTTCCTGTGAGGATATCTTCATGTTATCTATCGCCTGAACTTCTGTTGCCTGTGCAGCCTGTTTTGTGCTCACGTTTGCAGTTGGTTACAATGGTGTGTGTACCTACCTGCTCGGTGCCGCAGCGTGGGTGCCCCCTGCTTTTGAAAGCCCGAGCAGTGCTGGAGTTTCAGGTTTAATCACGTTGGTGTTCGTTTTCTTAGCACAGGTGCAGCAGTGAACAGCAGTGAAAGCCTCCCTCCATCCTCATCTGTCAACGACATCTCCTCCATGTCCACGGATCAAACCCTGGCGTCTGACACGGACAGCAGCCTGGAAGCTTCTGCGGGACCCCTCGGTTGTTGCAGGTGACTAGCCGCCTGCCTGCGAAACCCAGCGTTCTTCAGAGGATGATGTAATGTAGGGGGAAAAAAAGAACAGGAGTTAAAAGCGAGAGAAATAAAACACACCAAGATCTAAAGGCAACAAACAAAATCTTTTCAGCCTGCTTCTCCTACAGAGTTATGTAATGCAGCTAAGCTCAAGTGTATATTTAACGTGTAGATGCTCTGCTTTGGTCTTCTTCCAATGACGCTTAAGGGATGGGGGGGGAAAAAGGAGTTCAGAATCCTTTTTTCCCCCCGTCACCCTACGATGTAAAATTTATGGCTGCAAAACCAGCAACCTGCAACTGTCCTTTTCACACTGGCATGACAAGGTGTGCAGTAGCCCCTCAGAAACGTGTGTGTCTGCCTTCACGCTCCGCTTGGGCGCCGCCTGCCTCGGCGGGCTGAGCTGTGTCCTTGCTCAGCGCACAAGCAGCACGTGCGTGCCCGTGCCCGGAGCACGTGCGGCGCCACGGGGACGCACGGCTACACGTGTGCATGGTGTGTGTGCTCCCCATAACTCAGTGGCCCGTTTCAGGTGAACTGCATCAGTGCATAAGTGATACGTTAGCAGTATATATTCTATTCGTTTGTTCCACATTAGGTTGCATATCTTAAGTGAGGATTTTGGGGAAGTGAAAATAACCATGGGCAACTGCAGCTCCCTCAGACACTTGAAGATGTAGCAACAAAATTTCTGCTGAGAGATGTGTATATATATTTTGAAATAATACTTGTTTGTACTGAAAGAAGATGCCATAGAGCTTCACATAAAAATGTTTTTTTTTTCTTTGTGAATGTTAACACTTGTTATTCTGATTTTGAGAGCAGATATGCCAAGCTAAGACCTGGTTAGAAGGAAGCACATGTATCTTTGCAAGCTACGGGAAACAAGACTGAAGGTCTCTCACGTATGTCTAAGCCCAGAAAGATTTATCTCAGTGAGCAACCTTTCCTGATACTACTAAGCAAGTTAATTCTTGATTTGTAGATAGACTTGCTCTTATTCATTGGATTGTGTCTTTGTGCGTTAAGGGAGTGTGACAGGGCTGGGGAAACAGACTGCAGTCAAAAGGACGGGCACAGTTCTGTTTTCTTCATGTCTAGATCCTTAGCAAGTCAGTCGAGTAGAGAAAGGCTATTTGCAACCCAGTCCCCCTCTCAGTGCTCGCCGCCAAGAGGCTCTTTTCCCAAATGATCGTTCCCTGGCAGGAATCTCCCTGCCTACGAGAGCAGGCCTTCTGTAGGTGCTTCTGGCTCTTCACTTGCCTGTGGCAGAACCTCCCACTCCCCAGAAAGTTTTATGGGCCGGCATACGTGGGAAGGAGCGGCCGCGTGAGCAGGTCTAGTGGTCACGTATTGGAAGAAACAGCAATATTGGAAGTAACAGCAAACGCTGCCAGCTGGTGCACTGGGCTCAAAGGGTCTCTTCGGGTGGCTTAGACGGTTTGTTAAGGCCCAAAGAACCCAACAATGCCTGAGAAGCAAATGGGATGTTGCCAGATAATAACAAGTAGGATTTCCAGTGGTAAATGACAACAAGGTATTTGGTTTGTGGGTTTTTGGTTTGGTTTGGTTTTTTAAATCGGTGATCGGCAAGACTAGACACAGCAGGGCAACTGATCTTTTTCCTAGCCAGAGCACCCGTTTACATTTCCCATTGCAAGAGCACAATTGTCTGAACTGGAAATCAAGACCTGTGGCTCTTAGCTCTCCTCTTACCAAAGTGTGCCCTTTTAACATGAAATGATTAAACTTCAGGTACAGTGAAATGATGAAAAAGTAAATCTGACTTTTTCCACATGTTGGAAAGATAAATTGTTTAGAATAAGTTTATGGATATTTTAAATCCAGTGCTGTTAGCTGTTGAAACATCTACTAAAATATAACTGTTTTGTTGGGTAACTCCCAAATCTGCCATCCTGTGGTTAGGGGGAAAGTCTGAGTATTGAGTGACATTCTGTTCAAAGGAAAGAAAGCTCATTCTCCTGAAATTCAAGTCAAATGGATATAAAGTAATTTCAGAGTAATTTTTCAGAGCTCAGAGCAGTCTCAGAATTGCTAAAGGAAATGCTTTTTCCCCCAGGTATATGGTGAACTTTTTTTAAAAAAAAAAAATTGACAATAAAATTAGGTTGATGATTTTGTAAAAACTAAAAAGCAGTAAAGCGGTAATTGTGAAAGCAATAATTTACTACTGCTAAAAATGTTGAGCAATATTTTCTCTTAAGCCATGAAACGTTAAGTCGTTGTTTAATGATGTAACTCACAGGTCAGAGCCAATGATCTTAAAAGTATTCCAAGGTAAACAGCAATGCTTTGTGAGTATGAAGGCAATAACCCCCAGGGTGACTTCTTAGCAATAATAAAAGGTCTTATTTCCAGATGAAAATCGTGACAGATTTTAATCAAAAAATCAATTAATTATACCATTACTTAATCTCCCCTTTTAATTCAATTATCTCCATTTAATTTTATTTTTAAAAATTGCCCCTTTAAAGGCCACTTTACATGTCCTAGTGACCAATGGTGTGTCTTATTTACAGCACCACATCCCCTGCACACACAGGCAAAAACAGGCAAGTTTCTCAGAGAGGTCAAGTGTGCAAGAACTGCAAAAATACCACGGAATTAGAACCTAGGAGTAGTGACAGTGTGTTGGCAATGATATTAGGATGATGTGGCATAGGCAAATGGTATTTTTCAGTCTTGTTTTGGGTTCATGAGGGGAAGAACCAGTCACTGCAGAAGATGCCCTAGTGGTAAGTGCTAAAATAACTCTCAACCCTGGAAGGTATCTAGCTCTATTCTCAAAAGCCCCGATTCTGCAAAGCCCCAATGCATCCATAAACCTTTCAGTGAGATACAGGGATGCACACAGAATTTCAGCTAGCACGGGCTGTAGTCCTTTGCTTAGTAGTGATCCATCTAAGCACGTGCTGGATTGCCTTGATGAAATGGGGCCTATGACAATTACTGCACCTCTTTTCATCCTTAATTGGTCTCATTTTTGAGAAGCAGATGTGAGGGAGACTTGGGGCTGCCCACATTGGAGGCTAGGAGAGAAAAACATCAGTGACAAACAGCAGTAGTTCTTGACAGGTCTGTTCTTGCCTTTTTCTGGTCCTCTCCAGCCTGAAATAGTGGCCATCAAATAGGAATTGGATCCTGGGCTCTTCTCCGGCTCTGGAGGTTGGTGCTGCAGGAATGCAGGCTCCCTGAAATGGGGGAGCTCCCAGCCTTTTTCTCTTGATTCCTGTATCCTGTGCAGCATGATGAAATAGATGTTCTTCTTCTCTTTCTTGCCAGCGATTTTCCAAACCTGCCTCTTGGATAAAATCACAGTCAATAGTACTTGAAGAGCAGTTTGCTCATACTCCAAGGTTTGCAGTTGTAGCTACAGCTGCCCCCATTACAGATAGGTAGAGAACTGGGAACGCCCCGAGTGATGAGAGATCTGCCAAGGCTGCTATGGGGCAGTCTGCAAGCCTGGGGCTCCCAGTGCACAGGTGCAAGTCTTCCTTCAGCAGCAGCTTTGGAAAATTAGCCCTCAGAAGTGCCTGAGGACCCTAAGAATTCCTGTCCCATGTGCCTGGCTGAAGTCATGTGGAGAGCCATGAGCAGAGCAAGGAAAATGACAGAAGCCTCTTGATTGTCAGTGCACCAACTGCAGGGAACAGCTTTGAGAAGATGCAGAGGAAAATGACAGAACATTCCCACTTTATTTTCAGGTGAAATATTTCTGCATAATATTGCAAGTGTAGAAGAAGGACAGAATCACTCCCAGAAAGCTTCCCCCCCTTTTTCTTCTGATAGTTCTAAAGCAGCATGAACTATGATTTGTTTCAAGTGGATGAAAGGTTATACATGTTTTGAATCCAAATATTCTATAGTTTTGGAAATTGCCCTGGCTTGAGTTGAGAGCTGCAATGCTACCTTCTAAGTTTGGACCACATTCTGTTAGAATGCAATATATTTTGAGAGAGAAAAAATATTTCTTTGACTTGGTTGCACAGTGTTGTCTGAGAGTTGTGCTCCTGTTAGGAATCCCCTCATACTGTCTAGAATTTCCTGGCACAGATACGTAAAGAAATCTTAGCAAGTTTTTGTTACATGAACCAAAGCTGGGTGCAAGTACAGTAGCTTGGCCAAGAAGGCACCAGAAAGCCTTACTGGGTGCTTCCCTAAGGCACTCAGGTGTCTCTAGTTCCTGTGTGATACAAGTCTCAAGAAATTACACAAACCAGAGGGTGATATGTATCACTCTACTAAATTGACAACCAAGAATAAAGAATATATATATATATATATGATTTTACCTTCATGTATATTTCTTGACTTTCAAGTTTGGGGCTAAAGAAATTAGACAGGTACAATGCCTTTGGGGAGACTTCAAAAATACTGCTACTTACCCATTCGGATTGTATTTTCATATTTTTGATTCTTTTTTCTTAACAGCAGATTTTTCTCATGGAATTAGGCTGACAGACTGTTTGTCTGAGAAAGTCAGCTTCGACAAACCTGCCAGTACCTGCAGAGAGAAATGCTTGGTTTTAGGATTCTGAAATGATTGTTAAATGTAGTATTTTAATTGAAAATGTCTTTTAATGACAATTTTTAGTTTATATAGCATCATTGCAATATTACAAAGGATCAAAAGTGTTTTTACTGCCTACTTCAGTACACCTTTCTTTATGCTTGCGGAGATTTTAACATTGCATTGGAATTCAAGCGTGAAAAAAAAATGAAATCTCAACCAAGGTAGAAACCAAAATAACACGTTAGTCACATAATTCTACTGTGTGTGCTTCTTAGAAAAGCAATATGAAAGAGAACCTGCAGAGGAGAATTAGACTTTTAATAGTCTCTCACAAAAGAAAAAGCAAGTGTGAGTTAGTGGTTCACCTGAAGTATAGGATTTTATTGTTTTTGTTTTGTTTTCTTGCTTCTCTATGTGTGTGGGTGAACAAGAGGGAGTATATAGGCACATGGTTTTTGGAATCCTGGTGTTGCATTCAGATTTGACCCAAGTTCTCCTCTTGAGTCCCAAGTTAGGACACGGATGGAGAGCATGGCTGCAACCTACTCGCACATCTTCAAGAATCTGATGGCTCTGCTTATAGGAACTTCCACCCCTTGGCAAAGGACAGTGACCTGCCTGCAAGCCCCAGGTGACACACGTGCACATGCAGACACGCGTGCACACGGTCACTGTGCGGGGGCTTAAGTATTCCACAAATCCATTAATGTCTTAATTAAAAAGGTGAGGTTTGGGGAAGGGGGCGGGGGGAATGTGTCGTCTTGACGGATGAGCTGGAAACCAGACTGGGCCAGTGGGATTTAGTGGGGGGGGATCTGTGTAATGCAGTAGGAACTTGCCAATGTGGCCTGATTATTTTTTCCATTATTCATTACAAGAGTTGAATTATTTAACTTCATTTCTATTCAGGCTCATTGACCCAGGGCAAGTTGAAGTTGTAAAGAGGGGATGATTTGACAAAAGAATGTTGAAAATCTTCTACTGGGGCTAGTGGTGCCTTTTTACCTGTAGGAAGGGAGAAGCTGAAAAGCACTTACTGAAGGAAGACACAGTCAAATTGGGAAATAAATGTGTACCTGCCATGCCTATCATTTCAGGCAGGTAAGCCTGTCTCTCTGACTAATTTTCACTGAACAGGGCCATTCTTGTCTTCTGGAAAGCGAGATACTTACAATGTAAATAGTTGTATGGATTTTTTTTTTTCCCCTCTCTGTAACTAATATGTAATAATCCAGCACACTCTTTCTGTTTGATCTACAACAAGGCCACTGTATGCCTGAATCTGGTGGACCTTGGACCTTGTTCCTACTCAGTCCTGAACTGAAAAGGGCAGGGTCCTGGAGGTTTCAGTGTATATATAGAATCTTGTATATTTAGTAAATGGAGTAAGTGGGACTTATGGCCAGTATACGTTAAAGCCACAACAGTAACAAAGCTCCACAGCTCAACTAGCAGAAACAACTGTTCACCTTGCCATGTCCATCCTGTAATAAGACCTAAGTTGCACCTGCCTGTAGTTCTGCATGATCAGACTTCCAAGTATAACTGACAAGGTCTGTAATGTATCAGTGTTCATAAATGTAGATTTAAAAGGAAAAAAAAGAAAAAAAAAAACTCCAGACCAACATCCGAAAACCAACAATGGCAACAGTTCAATGTTAAAACTGGAATGTGAGACTCGTCCAATGTTGTTGCAGGGTTATAGTTGAACGGGGGAGCCAGCATCAGCGTAACTGGGCTGCAGTAGTGACATTGGCTGAGGGATCAACCTTATTTCCATACTGTTTTGTTCTTATTCTGGCCATCCGCTCTTCCCTGTGTGTGGTGCAGGGCCGAACGTGGCCCCCGTCACCAGTGTTTCACGGGTCCCTGTTGCCTCAGCGATTTCTGTTCATGTAGCAATTGCTAAACCAAGGTGGGCATCTCCTTTTCTCCTGCGCAGCAAAAGGCATCCTGCCCGAGCTTCCTCACGAGGATAATCCTCGCTGCTGTCCTCATTCCTGCCAGCTGCCTGACTTTGCGGCGTTCCCACGAGCGGAGCGCAGCGCCGGCCGCCGCATCCATCGCGGGCTCCACGAGATGTGCGTTGGGCCTCGGCGCCCTCCCCGCCGCCCAAAGTCAGGACGCACCTGAAACCCGGCACGTGCTCCAGACATGACGCCTCTTCTACACCATTTTGACCTTAGGAGGGGGAGGAAACTGCTGATCTTTGCAGATGTGGACTTGGACTATGTTTATTGGGGAGGAAAGCTGTAGCGAACCTCGGTTCTCGCCCTCCCCTTGGGAGCAGCTAAGCGGGAGCTGGCGCGAAGGCCCCGGCGCCCAGGGCTGCGTTTCCCGCCGCTGGGAGGGAGCTGCCCGCCAGGCTCCGTGGCGGGCGGGACCGGGACTCTTCTATAAAGGGTGTTTGTGGTGTTTACTTGGAAACAAGCTTTGGTAATTAAAATAGTGTATTCTGGAATCGTATTTGAATGGCATTAAGGGTATGAATGATAAAAAGTACACTCATACAGCTCTCCTGGCTTCTCATTCCTTGTCCTTCAGCCCTCACTAGGGGCCACAGATAAAGCTAGAAATGCTTTAAGGTAGATGGGTTACAAATTCTGCTTGGTGCTCTATCTAATGTGCTCTGGTGACTGAATCCTGTAGATTGGTGTTGAATATAAGAAGCTTTTACAGTGCTGAAGGCGTGTTGAGGGATCTCGCTGCCTCTCAGACTGTCTTCAAGAAGCTGAAGAGCAGCTGTCTGAACAGACCCGACAAGTTTCTGACGGGTCCTTCTCCCATCTTTCTGCCCATGAGAAAATCCAAATCATTTAAAAAAAGAGGGGAGGGAGGAAAGGCCATCCATAATTACTTTATGATTCTGTTTTGGGACTTGATTTTTCACGGCTGCTGAACACACTGGCCTTGATTTCAAGTGTAAAGGAACGTGGAGAGCTGCGGGGAGCTACTGGAGGTGCTTTCTCACTTCTTGCACAGCTCTCTAGTGTAAGTAATTTTGTAAGTAAGCGAGTCCAACCACAATGTGCAAGGCACATTTTGGCATTTGGATCCCTTGTGCACAGGAAAAAAAAAAATCACAACCGAATGAAATAGCCTTCTGTCCTTGAACAGTAAATCTTAGTTGTATTTGAACAGGAGAGACCTCTCTCTCGCTTTTCAGTTCTGCTAGGCACTCAGCACCGGTACCTGTTTAACAAACGGGCCAACCTGTTTTTTGTATTTCTGTAGTCGGCTTGTATTAGAACTTAAACCTCACTCCTTTGGTAAGGGGTGATGCATGTTACACTGATGAGCTACTCCAACGGAACCAGAGCTGAAGGAAGTCAGACCATGTGCAAAAAGTCCACCTCTGCATTTGCTCGAGGCAAAGGATGGGACAGAAGGTCAGTGAACAGCCTCTAAGACCGTTTCGAACATACGGGGGCCGCCTTTTTGGCCTCCCTATACACTGCGTATGCCTTCCGTGAGCTGTGTTTTCAGAGCCACGCTCCAGTATGATGGAAAAGCTGATGCTTCCTTATTCCCTTGGCACCCTTTGCCAGAGACCGCTCATTTTTGGCTTTATTCCCATGTGTGCTAATGCAGGGAAGTGTCATGTTTGCTGGCTCCACTTGCTGCCCTGTGGCTGAGCTGCTCCTCAAATGCATAACAGATAATGCTCCAAAAGAGCATGAGCTTCACCATGACGTTCCCAAACCTCCCTGTTAGCCGCCCTGCTTGGAGCCTGAATTGCTAAGCTGCTGTGTCTCCAAGCAAATGGGATTATGGTTAGAGTATAGGGAGCCTGGGAGGAAGCTGGGCTCGTTTAATTAATACTGATTTCCGAATATATCTGTCATTTGAAAATGCACTGCTGGGAAGGAGTAAGTGGTGTTTGTCTGCTGGTGCCTCTGTATAATGCTCTGTCCACATTCCAGGAGGATGTTTAAATGAAATAGTAATTGGGCTGGGGGGAGAAGAGCTCTTTTGGAATATGACTATTAATGCGGGCAGACTGAGGCTTTGGTTAAATAAGTCTCGCAGGGAGTGGCTGCCTGCCATTGTATCAGAATGTTTTTGGCTTTTCTAGCGCCACGAGTCTGAAACTAAGAATGAGGGGGATTTAATAGTCACGTTTTGAAGTGTGTGAGATGGTTCTCACCCCCACGTAACGCCTAACGTTGCAGAAAAAAGGGAATTGCCTTGGATTTTTGAGGGGAACTCAGAAATTACCCCCCCAAAAAATAAGTTATCCCTTCTCTTTTCTAGACCAAACAGAACAAAAACTAATGCTTTAATGTGTGGCTATGGAAGCGTGCTGCACAGGTTCACATCCCTGCTGTTGACGTAAGCTAAGTAAAGGCCTCTCTCAGGCTATGGGATGAAGTCAGGGTAGATACTGGGAATGTAGATTTACGTTTGTAGAATGCAGAAAGCAAGAGCCTTCTCCTAATTGTTTTTCACAAGCCTAATGCCCTGTAGCAGGTAAGAAAGCTTAACACTAAACAGTGCTTCCAGAGCCCGAGTCCTTGGAGCTTTTTGGTGTATGTTTTTGTAACGTGTGCTTAAGATGATCGTGCTTCTCTACGCCAAGGAGAACAGTCAGCTTTAGCAGTGTGCAGGCTTCCCATCACCTTTTTCTTCAGCCCAAAGGAGGAAAGTCACATCCCCTTGGCAGCACGGCAACGCTTGGACCACCCTATGGATTGCAGGTGGGTCAGCAGGAGACATTTGGCCAGGTTTCAGCACAGCTGTACTCTCAACCTTTGTTTTTCTGACCTTTTTAATCACAGAAACAAATGCAACGACACACAACTGGAAAAGGCAATGAAAGTAGTCTGTATTGTTAAGATATTTCATTTGCCAACACTGGTTGTATGATTTCTCAAACGATGCGGGATAAATTTTAATTCTCCTTCTTGGCTGTCTTTTCTAGCCTTAGTAAAATAACAATAATTAAACTGCTCACTCGTTTTAACACTGGGATGCTAAGTAGCTAGGACAAATCTCAACAGAGCGATTACTCTGGCCTTTACCAGCACCACTGTAACACTGGCTCCATTGGGATTATTATCCCACATCAATTCTGCATCGTGTTTATTGCAACCACTTCCCCAGAGCACCCTGTCACTGCACAGTGTGCAGTGGAGGCACTTGCAGAAAAACTGCTGGGGAAGGATGGTCATTCTATGGTCATTCCCACTGCTGCCTTGTGCTCAGATCCCTCCTCCCAGGGCCTGGTGCACCCTGTTGCCCTCTGCGTACAGTAGTGCAGAGCAGCTGCCCTTAGGAAGACACATGAGACAGGCCGGGAGTGCCACCTAAAGGCTGCAGTGCTGAAGGCTTCACCAGGGCACAGTTCAGTGAACTGCAAATCACCCCCTTGCTGCTCAAGTTGCACAAACGTGACGGGTGAGAGTTTGTTACATCCCTCCCTGTACCATGGGGGGTGCCAGATTCTCAAATGCGTATCACTGAGCCATACACGACAGTGAGTTGGGGGTGTGGGGAGATTGGGCCACCAGCGGGCTCTGCCAGACTGTTTGGAGTCTTGGAAATGAAAAACCACAAAGAACTTAGTTTATTTTAGCAATTTTCAGCTGTCAGCGCTATGTCTGAGATGGAATTATGCAACAAAACTTCCTGCAAAACATCTTGCAAAGGTATGTCCCAATGGAAATGCTTTGTAAGGATTTCTCTTCCTTCTAGTTCAGCTGTTAAAACGGTAAAATAGGATTACACTACAGTGCAGGGATTTTTTTTTAAGTTATTTTCTCCATGAATCTGACCTCTAATTGTTTTGTTTCTTTTTATATCCACTTTAATAGAAAGGTATTCTCTGATGCCTTACCTTAAATATACCTTCCCCTAATTTTGGTAGTATTAAAAGCATGTCAGAGCTTTCCAAGTTACCCCAGGGCCTCTGGGAATGAATGCCTGCAGAACCCTCTCTCCTCTGCTTCAATTGCTACACTCAACACAAAGCAGCTCCCCGCCAGGAACGTGTTACCTGTATCTGCTGCTTCTACCCTGGGTTCTGCCCTGGCAGTAGGTGGGCTCTCAGGCCATTCCAGAGACGCTTCCTGGCGGGGGCAGATAAGAAAAGGTAGTGAACTTTGGAGAAAAATAAGTATATAGTAAAAGTAAAGTCATCGTATATAAAGTAAGTCACCTATAAAGGTGAATGTTCTTTAAGGGCAAAAAAAAATAATTGCCCTGTAATCTCTCATTGAGTCCCTGTTTCCTGTGTTCCTGGCTTCAGAGCCAGACTATTTCATATCCACTGTGATGTGTAAGGTAGTAATTTCTGCCTTGTAATCCAGGAGAAATAAATGCTGGCTATTCCTAGAACTGCTAAGCCATAGAAAGATCAACCGTGCCATAGTATTAATTAGTCCCTGCTTGCACCAAAAACTACTTGCAGCAGTGGAAAAAGCCGAGAGTGGCAGGCTTAGGTTCAAAGCGATTATGGGGCAGAGATCTCTACTGTGAGTAATACGTATCGAAGCTAAACATTCCTGTAGATCTGTGCAGCTGAACCTGCTGCTCCCATGCATACCAAGCATTATAACATTCCAGAAAACATCAGTCTTGCAGAGTTATACCATTCACATCATCTGCTTTAAGCTTCAGTGCATTTATTTATTAGAGGCTACTCTGTCAGCTCAGTGCATAATCCATGGAAATCTCTTTTGAGGAC